TTTTTGTTTTTCTTTTCCCCATTGGTTGCTTCTTGCATGTGCCCTGGCCGGATATTGAACCCAAGATCCTGGCATATCAGGACAACTCTCTAACCAGCTGAGCTACCTGGCCAGGACCCAGAAAGCCATTTTTCATGCTGGATAAATAGCTAGGAATGATAACCAGATGACCTTTCCCCTCTCACCCCAGGAAGAACTGACAGGAGGAAGGACTGCTGGTGAAGGATTAAGAAGAGGTTGTGCCGAGTGTCTGCTGTTTCCGGTTGCCTCGCATTAGACATTCTACTTATTTATAATGGGGGTGAAGGTGGAGGTGGGGATTTCATAACAGATGCAGGCAGCTTGCCCCCTACTCAGAAGCTGAAAGTCCAATCAGATCTCCCCTCCCACCTCAATCTCATTTGTGGTTAGGTGGGAAAAATTAACAAGGCAACTGCTGTCCCTGGTTCTGAATTTCAGGACCAATACTTTTTTTTTTTAACAAGAAAAAACAATCAAATTTAATGGACTACATACATATGAGAACACCACATATCTGAGCGAGTCAGAGACCCCATACACATGAGAGGTTCAGAGAGAGAAAGGGAAAATCAGGTATATCTGGCATTCTGAGCTAAGGCACCTGGGACTTCAGAGGGGAGGAAGGTCCTTGCAGGACGATAAGAGCAGATGTTCAGTAACTAGAAGTTTGTCCAGCCCTATAAGTAGGACAAACTATACAAAATTATAAAACTATAAAAATTATTTTCGGTGATAACCCTTATTATGGGCAAGGCCTCTAATTTAAAGTCTTTTTTATTTTTATTTTTATTTTTTTAAAATATATTTTATTGATTTTTTACAAAGAGGAAGGGAGAAGGATAGAGAGTTAGAAACATCGATGAGAGAGGACCATTGATCAGCTGCCTCTTGCACACCCCCCACCGGGAATGTGCCTGCAACCAAGGTACATGCCCTTGGCCGGAATTGAACCCGGGACCCTTCAGTCTGCAGGCCGACACTCTATCCACTGAGCCGAACAGGTCAGGGCTAAAGTCTTTTTTTTAATTGTTGACAGTATTACAGACTCCTCCATTCTCCCCCCTTTTCCTCCCTCCACCTGGCCCATGCCCCACCCCAGGCCTTCACCACACTATTATCTGTGTCCATGGTTTATGCATACATACTTTTTAAAAAGCCTCTTTAAATGCAAATTGGCTGGACTAACCTTCGGGAAGCTGTGGGGCCATAGGGTAAGCATCAGCCTGGAGAGTGGGGATGAAAGTATAGTGACTCAGCTACTGAACATGTGAGGGAAGATATTTGATTGTAGCCACTTACCTCCGAGCCTCAGCTTTCTCAGCTCTCAAATTGGGTTAAGAGCCCTTATGTCACAGGATGAAGGGCAGATGGAAAGGGAAGGGAGTTTTCGGGATGCCCACAGCGGGGTCGAGGGTCCAATGGCTGGGTCCCTGGGCGGTAGCATACTAACCTTCCCAAGCAGGCTGTCTAGGTCCCCCAGGCCCACACTCAGCTTTCTGGTTCCAACCTGAGCTGGGTTCCTTAACCAAGGAATATAATTCTGAGAGCAACCATGGCCTTCAAATCAAGTCCTTTTCTGCTTAGGTAACCAGAGTAAGTTCCTGTTGCTTGTAACCAAGAAATCACAACTGGTCTAAAGTGCCCTTTTGTAAGGCTGGCTAAATGTCAGTCAGGAAAACACAAACAGAACTCAGTGCTGAAGGACAGTGTGTGTCTAGGACCAGGTCATAGTAAATCAGAGTGTGAACTCGCTGTGTCCTCCTGAGGACACACCCCAGAGGGGTGTGTCCCAGTGGGAGGAATGGCTGCAGATGCCCAAATTTCTTCTTGAGGGGGGTCGGGGTGGGGCATAAAGTATTAGCTTACATTTGCACTGACCTGGACAGGGCACTATCCAGCTTCCTTAACAAGACCTCGGACAAGAGGTTTCCAGGGCCTCTGAAAGATTCCCAGGGGTCTGGGGCAATCTTCCTCCCCCCAATCACTCGTATCACATCCTTCATCAGACTTTTCCTCCTAAATATCTCCCAATTCCACCCACACCCCTTTTTGTCCACTGCCAGCCCTGACGGCCTTTGCTCAGGACAAGACAATCCAGTTGACGTGGTCTGTGTGCTGCACAGCTCAGCCCACCTCTCACCTCAACTCACAGGAGCTCTTTCAATTCTCTGGCCAACTCCCCAATCCCCACCCCAGCCCCTGGCAACCACTATTCTACTTTCTGTCTCTATGACTTTGACGACTTAGGTACTTCGTTATAAGTGGAATCATACAGTATTTCTCTTTCTGTGACTGGTTTATCTCACTTAGCATAAAGTCTTCAAGATTCATCCATGTAGCAGCATCTGTCAGAATTTCCTTCCTTTTTTTAAAAAAAAAAATTGATTTCAGAGAGAAGAAGGGAGAGGAGAGAGGGAAAGAAACATCAACGATGAGATGCCTCCTCTACGCCCCCCACTAGGGATTGAACCCATACCTGGGCATGTGTCTTTGACTGTGAATCGAACCTGTGACCTTTTGGTGCACAGGATGACACTCAGCCACTGAGACACAAGCAGGGCAGTTTCCTTCCTTTTTAGGCTGAGTAATATTCCGAAATACATATACTATATTTTGCTTATCCATTCATATGTCGCTGGATGATGGACTCCTGAGTTGCAGCTGTATTTTGGCCATTATGAATAATGCTGCTATGAACACAGGAGTACCAATACCTGTTCACGTTCCTGCTTTCAATTTTCTAACTCAGAAGTGGAGTTGCTGAATCATTTGGTAACTCTATGGTTCATTTTCTGAGGAACTGCCATACTGTTTCCAAGTGGCTGCATCAATTTACATCCTCACAAGCAGTGCACAAGGGATCCAATTCCTCCACATCCTCACCAGAACTTCCTATTTTCTGATAAAGCCACCCAGGTGGGTGTGAGATGATATTTCATGGTGGTTTTGAGTTGCATTTTCCTAATGACTAGTGATGTTGAGTATCTTTTCATGTATTTATTGGCCATTTGTAGACCTTTTTCAGAAAAATGTTTACTTAAGTCCTTTGCCCATTTTTTCGTTTGCTTGTTTTGTGTGTGTTAACTCTCACCCAAGGATAGTTTTCCCATTGATTTTTAGAGAGAGTGGAAGGGAGGGAGAGAGAGTGAAAGAGAAACACTGATTGGTTGCTTTTAGCATGTGCCTGACTGGGGCTGGGGATCGAGCCCGCAACCTGAGCACGTGCCCTTGACAGGAATCGAACTCGGGACCCCTCAGTCTGCAGGCCAACACTCTATCCACTGAGCCAAACCAGCCAGGGCCACACAGCTTTTTTTTACACATAGCTATTAAGCGGCATGGCCAGTACTTTAATCTAAGATTTCAGCTCTCATCCTGCCTATCGCTTATTCAATCATTTGTTCACTCGAAGAGTCTAATGAATGTTGACTATGTACCAGAAACAGTTCTGGGAACTAGAGAATATCAAACAGACAAGAGTCCTGCCCTCATGAAGACATCAAACAATTAAACAAACAGATAAATAAAGTACTTTAAATGATGTTACATGTTATGAAGAAAATGAAGCAGGCAAAAAGACAATGGTGGCATGTCCTCAGGTGTCTGTGGCGGTGACATCTGAGCTGAGACTAAAGAGGTTCCTGGAGCTCCTTCAGAACAGAGATCTTTGGTCCTCTTCTCTGTCTCTTTAGCACCAGAACACAGAGTCCAGTAAATAGTAGGGGCTCGGTAAATGTTTGCTAAATGGATAACAGGTGCAAAGGAGCTGTCAAGTCTCATGAGCCATGATAGAAATATTACAAAATAGGCGTTAACATTGAAATCATTCGTGTTTCTGTTTAGAGTCATTTAACACTAAAATTTGAAGGTCTGGCAATACCGAGTGTTGTTAGGCTGTGACCAGCAGAATTCTCAAATGCTCTGGCGGAGTGTAAATTGGCAGGAGCACTTTGGGGAAACAACATGGTTAGATCTACAAGGCTGAACATATGCACACGCTACGACCCAGCCTTCCACCCCTTAATGGACATCCAACAGAAATATAGTCACACCCCGCACCAGAATGCCTGTGACAGCAATATCATAATAGCCAGCAGTTGCCATGTGGGAATTACCCAGATGTCCCTGAACAGCAAAACAGAGAAACTGTGCTGTATTCACATAATGGATTATCCTACTGCAATGAGAATGAATATTGACAACTATGTGTAACAGTACGGATGATGTTCACAGTTATAAAACTGAGCAAAGGAAGCCATATACAAAAGAGCTCATCCTATATGAATCCATTTCTATAAAAAGTACAAAAAGGAGAAAACTAATTTTTGTTGTTAGAAGTCAGGAGCGTGGTGACTCTGGGGAGACCTCTTGCTTCGAAGATGGCATGAGGCAGAGTGGCTGGGAATGGACACATTGGTGTGTTCATTTGGTGAATATGCATCACCTTGTATGCTTCTGTTAAGAGTGCTTTTCTGTTTCAAAGGTTTGGGAATCTGCAACAATTCAAACAAATCAATGATCCAACAACGTGGATTCCACAGGCGTGGCGGGCTTCCTTCCTGTCCTGCGCTGGGTGTAAAGACAGATTTTTGCAAAGAACAGCCTGAGTGTGGCAGCTTCCTCTCACCTCGTATGTGCTGCCTCACATCAGCTTTGGAGAGCAACTTGAGCCGTCAGGAGACCATCAGTCAAATCACAAGAGCTGGGGTCTGCTAGACACTGGCTCTGCACCTCTAAACATGCTACATCCTCCATTCGGCTTTAGGTAAAAGTCATAGGCTCCCGGTGGGAATGAAGAGAGGAATGTGTGTAAAGTGTCTCCCCTGGTGCAAGGCACAAGGTAAGTGCTCAGGGATGCTAACTCAAGCTCCCAAAATGATCACATGATTTTGTTTGAGGCTTTCAAGCCAATGATGAATCAGCCTGATGGAAGGAAGGGGCTAAGGAGGAGGCAGAGGATTGTGGGAGGAGAGACTTACCCTTCATGATGCTCAGGCTCTGCCCCAGTGGACGGAACCCCTTGAGAAACCTGGAATGTTGCATTACAAAAGCTGCACACTGTATGCTCCAACTGGCTCCAACCTGTAACAGAAGATACAAAAACAGGCAAAACAAATCTATTTCATAAGAGTTGGTCTAGTGCAGCCGTGGGCAAACTACAGCCCGCGGGCCGGATCCGGCCCATTTGAAATGATAAAACTAAAAAAAAAAAAAAGACCGTACCCTTTTATGTAATGATGTTTACTTTGAATTTATATTAGTTCACACAAACACTCCATCCATGCTTTTGTTCCGGCCCTCTGGTCCAGTTTAAGAACCCATTGTGGCCCTCGAGTCAAAAAGTTTGCCCACCCCTGGTCTAGTGACTCCTTGTGGGAGGACAGTGATTAGAAGGGGGCACAGAGGAAGCTGCTGGGAGGATGGTCACACTCTGTGTCTTCTTAACCTGGTGCTGGTTGCACTAATAAGTGAGGTTCGTGAAAATGTATCAAGCTCAATACTGAAAATACGTGTCCTTTTCCTTATAGGTCTCAATGTAAGAATCAGGCCTAATTTAGGAGGCCAATGCCTTATCCATTAGGCCTAATTTAAATTCTGGCCTAAGAGAACTAAACTAGACGGATGAACACTACCCCCAGCCCTCTGTAATGTGGACTCCAAGTCAAGAAGGTAAACAAAAGAATTCGCCATGTCCCCTGTCCCATCATTTTGCCAGCAGATGGCACTTGTTGTAGAGAGAATGGAGGAGGGCCCCCTTTCCTCACCTTTGGGCAGTTTTCTTTGATGAGCTGCCTCCTGCATGCCTCCTACTGGGGATCGAGCTCGCAACCAGGGCATGAGCCCTTGACTGGAATCGAACCCGAGACCCTTCAGTATGCAGGCCGATGCGCTATCCACTGAGTAAAACCAGCTAAGACCTTTGGGCAGTTTTCTGCACAACCTGGGAGACAAACAGCTCTCAGGAACCTCGTGGACCAGCCCCATTTAAGACAGTGTTCATCCTGCTGCAGGAGGATGCGCTGGTGGCAAAAAACCTGTGCAGGTGCAAAGAAACCTGTCAATGAAGGTGTGCGGGGTCTAAGGTGCTCCAGTGCCCCAGTTATGTTAAAATCCGGACTAAAAATAAAGGGCAGCTGGCTTTGTAGTACCGGTGTGAGTCTCGGAGGCCAGGGAGGAGGCAGGTGACATGGAAGGAGCCACGTGTGCATGTTTGTGACACAGCAGTTACAAAACAAGACGGCCAATGACACTTCCTGGGACAGTCGTGAGCTTCTGGTCTCAGATGAGCCCCATGAGGCTTTACGGCAAATAACATGGATAAGACCACCCCCTCTCTACACAGAGTTGCTTGCCTTATTCATCATGTGTCTGAATTCTTCCAAGTTGCTTTGGGTACAGCCTCTCCCTATTTTTTGTTTTTTGAACTGCTTAAATATAATTCACATTTACCCATTTTAGTATGTTCACAGAGTTGTGCAAAAATCATGACAATCAATTTTAAAACATTTTCATCACCCCCAAAAGAAAAACCCTCACCCGTTAGCAGTCACCCCCCACCCCACCCCCCGTTTCCCTCAGGCGTAGGCAGCAACTAATCTTTCTGTCTCTATGGATCTGCCAATTCTGAACATTTCATGTCAATAGAATCATACAGTACGTAGTTTTACGTGCCTGGCTTCTTTCACTGAGCATCATGTGTCCAAGGTTCATCATATGTTGTAGCAAGTGTCAGAGCTTCATTCCTTTTTATTTATTTTTTTATAGCAAAGGTGGGAATTTATTAAAGAACAAGTACAGACTCCCACATGGGGAGGAGGAAAGGATCCCCGAGCTTCATTCCTTTTTATGACTGAATAATATGCCATTGTATGGATAAACCACAACTGATGGGGTGTTTTGATGTTTTTGGCATTAGTGAATATGAACATTCATGTTATGAATATGAACAAATGCTGTGGTTTTCATGTGTACATGTTTCCATTCTCTTGGACTTATTCCTAGGAGTAGAATGTATGATGAGTCACGTTTAATCTTTTGGGGAACATTTGCCTTTAGCTTTAAGTGCAAATACAATTCTATCATCTCATTTCTTCTTTGATTCTTATTGACAGCAAGCAGGAAATGGCAGCTCTTTTTGTAAGGGAGGGAACTGAGGCTGAGAGCACTCAAAGGATAACAAATACTAATAAAACAACCATGAGAGCCAGCACATGCCAAGCACCATGTAAAGTGAACTAACTGCAGTCAGCCATTCCATCCTCACAACAACCCTATGAAGCTGGCATTATCTTCATTCCTATTTTGTGGTTAGAAAATTAAAGTATTTTTTAACAAGGCCATACAGTGATGTGGCCCAAGACTTGAACCTAGCTCCATCTCAGTACATTTTAAGGTCTCACTGGCTCCCAAACCCTTTGCAATTTGGTGGATTCTGGAGGGTCAGCAAATTTTTACCCAGCCTTTGGGATGGTAAGGTTTGCATGTCCTGTTCTATTTAACCTCTATGCATGGGACACTGTGGACTGCCCTTTGCCCTCCTTCTTCTCTGACCCTCTACTCAGTCTCTATGGGTCTTTCCTGGATCCGTCTTAGAGTCCTTTCTCCTCCTTAATGGGTCTTCCTGCCTCCTACTTCCACTCTCCTCACACTGCCTGAATGCTCTGCTTAAAACACAGATCTGGTCATATCACAGCTTAAAAGTCTCAACGTTCCCCATCACTACCAAACAGGATAAATGCTACATTTCATAGACTGGTCTCTAAGACCCTCACCCTCTTTGCCCATCCTCTACAGTCCCATTTCACACTCTACAATCCAGCCATAAAGAACAGTTTTCAGGGGGTGCAGGGGAGGGGGTCAATGAGAAAAAAAAGGGGGCCCTGGCCAGTTTGGCTAACTGGATAGAGCGTCAGCCTGCAGACTCAAGGGTCCCAGGTTCAATTCCGGTCAAGGGCATGTACCTTGGTTGCAGGCACATCCCCAGTAGGGGGTGTGCAGGAGGCAGCTGATTGATGCTTCTCTCTCATCGATGTTTCTAACTCTCTATCCCTCTCCCTTCCTCTCTGTAAAAAATCAATAAAATGTATTTAAAAAAGGGGGGGGGGACATCTGTAATACTTTCAACAATAAAGATAAATTTTTTAAAATAATAATACTCTGTTTCTGGGGTATTGTGCTACCCACCCCCCACCCCCCCCACACACAAAGAACAGCTTTCATTTCCCCAGAGACATTGTGCATTTCCTATCTCTGGGACTTTGCAAAAGCAGTTCTCCCTCCGTGGAGTGCCCTTATCCACAGAATTCTCACACATTCTTAAATCCCAACTTCAATGTCCCTCTTCTCTCTGAAGCCTCCCTCCTCCGGGTGCTCCCCACTCAACTTCTCAAAGCACTGTGTTTTGAAGTCTTCAGCACAAGCTATTATATTAGTCTCCCTAGCTGACCTGTGTTCACTTTGAGAACAGAGATTGGGCTTTATTCCAGTCTGTATATTTCCAGAACAAGACCTTGCTTGTAAGACATAGAAGATATATTCCTTACAGCAATGGAATATATATTCTACTAGAGGCCTGATGCATGAAATTCGTGCAAGAGTAGGCCTTCCTTCCCCGGTTGCTGGCACCAGATTCCGTCTGGCACCTGGGACCGGGCTTCCCTCTAACCACCGCTTCATCTGGAAGGTCGTCCGGAAGGATACCCGGTCTAATTAACATATTACACTTTTATTATTTTATAGATATCTTCCCTGTCCAATATGGTAGCCACAAGCCATATGTGGCTAATGAGATGTGCTGTAAGTATAAAAAACACTCTGGACTTCAAAGACTTAGTGTGGCAAAAGAATGTAAACTATTTCTGATTGGTATTTTTTTTTTATGTATTTTTATTGACTTAAAGCTCAAAATGCTAGTTAATCCCTTTCCTGTAATATTTAAAAAACAAACAAACACATTTTTATTGATTTCAGAGAGGAAGAGAGAGAGAGAGAGAGAGAAACATCAATGATGAAAGACACATCATTGCTTGGCTGCCTCCTGCATGCCCCCTACTGGGGATCAAGCCCACAACCCAGGCATGTGCCCTTGACTGGAAATGAACCCGGGACCCTTCAGTCTGCAGGCCAGCACTCTAGCCACTGAGCCAAACCAGCTAGGGCTGATTGTTTTTTTATATTGATTAAATATTAAAATAGTATTTTGCATATATTGGGTTAAGTTAAATATATTAAATTAAACTCACCTTTTTCTTTTTACTTTTTAAAACATGGCTAGTAGAAAAATATTAAATTACATATGTGCTGGTCTCCCAGTTTTCTAATTGCTTCTTTTGGGCTAAAGCAGTGGTTCTCAACCTTCCTAATGCCGCGACCCTTTAATACAGTTCTTCATGTTGTGGGGACCCCCAACCATAAAATTATTTTCATTGCTACTTCATAACTGTAATTTTGCTACTGTTATGAATCGTAATGTAAATATCTGATATGCAGGATGTATTTTCGTTGTTACAAATTGGACATAATTAAAGCATAGTGATTAATCACAAAAACAACATGTAATTATATATGTGTTTTCCGATGGTCTTAGGCAATCCCTGTGAAAGGGTCGTTAGACCCCTAAAGGGGTCGTGACCTACAGGTTGGCGACCCACAGGTTGAGAACTGCTGGTCTAAAGAAACCATTCTCAACACAGCAATCAGAATGATTCTTTAAAATGTTAATCAAATCAAATACAGTTGGTCTCATTAGTGGTTATGCTCCATAAATTTGCCACAAACACTGAATTAGAGAATATTGAACCACTGCTCCTGGAGAAATACAGGGTAAGGTTCTTGCCAGACTCTGGTCACACTTGCATATGGATCAATATATAACCATGTTTTATGAGTGTTTCTATCTAATGATGCTGGCTTAATATATATTATTGATTTGGTAATATTGAACTCAATATAACTCATGCCTGTAGAAAGCTTATCTAACACACCCATTTTTCTCTGTAAGCACATCACAGCTTTCTTGCACTTTGGAACATTAGGCAGTACTTCAGCACTATGCTTGGGAGCCTTTTTTTTTTTAATCCTCACCCTAGAATTTTATTTTTATTTTTT